ATGTATTTGGCAACTAGAAGGACATGATTAAGAAAAATAAAATGTATTCATGATGAGGATAAACACCATGTTAGAGAGAATAAATGAATGAATGGACGGTGAGCTTAAAGTTTATAAAATAAAGAAAATCTGAGCCAGGACAGAGAATTACCAAAGATTATTACAATTTAAAAATAATGAGAATTAAGTAGATTTGTGACGTGAAGGGAAGAAGGTTTGCAGAAAGAGGCTTCAGGTATGAAAGAGGGTGATGGTTCATGTGAAGTATTAGAGAAATGGGAATGGATGGAAGCTCACACAGCAAGGTTAGCAGCTAGAATGAGAAAAGAACATCTTTTCCTTTGAAATCAGAGGGAAAGAGTAATAGATTGTTGTGTATTTTCTAACTCTCAGGGTGGAGTTTCAAACTTTGACTATTACACATTATTTTCTAAAATATATGTTTTCTAAATCCCATGATGTAAAAATCCAGCGAAATAACATCGTTTGCCCTGCCTATACCATTCCCCTCGATATGTGTGTTTTAAAAATGGGAATATACCATCACAAAGAAGATGAGAAAATAAAATTAAAAGGAAATTACAATGGAGATAGCGTTTAGTTTTTTATGTGTTACTTGTTAAATCCAAGGGGCTTGAATTTTGAAAATAAGTATAATCTTGATTTTCATCTTTAAAATCCTAGGATAAAATATCGAAATATTTTAGTAAAGTAGTTTTTGTTGTTGTTGTTGAGTAGTGTAACCTTATCTTCATGGTTTACAGAAATGTCCCTACAGCTTTTCAAAGAAATTTAGTTCATTGCACTTTGACATCATCAAAGCAAGAATAAAATTCATGTTAATTTTTGACTGGACTAAATCACAAAACATTTCAGTCAATATGTAATATTGTTTATGTAACACTTGCAGCTACTGAAACGTATGTATTGTTTCTTGCCTAAGGAAATTAGAAAAGGATCTGGAATTCAGAGTGATAGCAAAAATCAGACCATTATGCTTTTATGTGGAGTATATGTTATGTGAAAGATTATTGAGATGATATGTTAGAATACTATCAAGAAAAAATTCTAATTGGATTGAGTGCGAATGCACTATTTGGGAAAAAGTTATTTCATATCAGATTCCAGACAAAGTACAAATGCAACTTACATATGTGTGATAGTATCTTAATAACAAATAGGAGTTGTTTCTTACTGTCATGAGATCACACCTGTAAACATGTATTTTCTCACAGTCAACTAGGGAAGAAAAGAAAATGTTGTTTGGGGAAATTCGTTTTCCCTTTAGTAATATATACTAAAGAATGGAGATCTCTCCATATTAAATATCCCTTTCCTTTGTGTTCTTTGGAACTCAAATTCATTGTTCTTTCCATTATATAACTAAACTTATCCTTTAGGCAATGTGCCTTCAGATACATATAAATATCTAAAATTTCTGGTTGTATATCTTTATGTTGCTTAGAGAACTGTAGTTTTCATATTTAGTGACAATTTTAATTTCTCTTTGGATCAATGTCAAGTTATAGCTCTCTCTACATTCTTGTTTCTTTTTAATCCTCAACACATTTAGGGGAAATAATTCTTAGTTTATGTAAAAAGTCACATCTCAGAAGTTGAGTTATTTCCCCATCACTCCTCATCTCTTCCAAATCTTCTAAATATAATTTGACCCATCAGTCATTCCACGTCTGGTGTTATACAGGAGACATTGAAATGAAAAGATTCTTAAAATTCTGCAGTCTCTTGGGGGGAGAAATCATTTCCCCTCCAAAGTTAATTCTAAAAGTGGAGGACCAGGAACAATGTTTTATTTTGACATTATAGGTCAACATATTTGCAATACTGGGTCTCCTGTTCTTCAACAGCCTTTCTATCCAGTAGCAATTCCATAGCTGTTAAGTGTGTCAGCTGAGAGATTCCATCAGCCTTATCAGCACCTGCCACTTGCGATTGCATTTATGTAGCACAGTTTTAAAATGTTAAACTTGATGTTTTTGTCCTCCAGTTAGTATCCCTGCATCTCAAGAAATCAAGGACAAGCCTATGTGCAAAAAAATTATATGATCTTCCTTCCTCTCTTATGTTAAAGTTTTAGACATCAAAGTTGTTCTCTCTCTCTCTTTCTTCTCGGTGTGTGTGTGTTCGTGTGTGTGTATGTGTGTGTGTTTCTCCCTGTGAGTGTTTTAAGATTCAATTGTAAATATTTAAATTTATTTAATGTATTTACATTTTAAATGTATTTAAAATCGGTCTAGACTTCCTAACATAAATTCTTATATACTGTTTTCAAATCCAAGAGATTGAAAGAGGTCATAAAAGTTAATAAAAGATCTTTCTCAGTACTAATGCTTTCATTCTTATCTTCTCACCCACTCCTTGGTAAGTGTTGATTTCATCACCTTATGGATAGAAAAATAGATTACCTAATGCAAATATCCCTTACCTTCTCCATCTCTTAATTACAGTGTTGACTAAAATATGTCATTTTTGGGTAATGTAACTCTTTTTAAAATGAACTTCTGTGGTTTACATTTGTGGAAGTTATCTGGATTAAATGAAATAGATATTAATAATCTTAATTTATTTTTATCTTTCCTCATCCTCAAAGTCCTCCCATAGCTTCTGTTTTGTCCACTAATCCCTATTGTGACTGACATTCTGTACTTTGACAATGAGGAATAAAATGCTGCTCTCTACCTAATTCTTTATTTGGTAGCATTATTAATAAAATTAACTAAATGAAAAAAATAAAAATAGTTTGTTCATTCTCTAGCATGATTCTTAATCTTGATTGAATCTTGATTGAATCATAATTCACATGCAGAACTGATGTGTGCATGCATGTGTGTAAGTGCATGTGTATTTTCATTTTAACCTGTATTATGGGTGAGCTACATTCAAACACTGGTCTCAAGCTAAAAATATTATTGGTAGGAAAATTAAATTCAACTCTAAAATAAAAATTCACATATTTTTCCAGGAATCATAGATAAGAAAGAACTGAGATACTAAAGAGTATGCACAGTGCTGAAATTGGATGTAAATACCAGTCATTATTATTATGAAAAATTTAGATGTTAGTCCTGATAAAATTACAATGTTAAGGTCATAGCATTGATCCCACACACTGTTACAGACTCTGACCTGGGACTGAGAAAAAAGGTGCCAAGGAAGGGAGTGTCAACCACCTCTCCAAGGCCAACATTGTAATGGCATCACTGATGCAAAAAATGGGGGCATTCAGGATCAGATAATTACAATGACATAGATAGACTCATAATCATCTTGATTTACTCAAGTTTTAGTGATATTGGAGAAATATTAAATTCTCCTTGATATTCTGTAATATAAATGCTATTCCTGTTATTCTAGAGTGAGTTAAAGCATTCCAACAATACTAAAGTTATAATCAGCCTTCAAGTAAGTAATTCACACATCTGAAATTAATACATATTGAACACTCACTTTTTGCTTAGTCTGTGAAAGTAGCTTTACAAAATATTATGCCAGAGAAATACCAATTATGAAATAATAGTTTTTCATAGTAGCTCTTATACCTAGATATTTTAGAAATCATGATGAATTATCTGGATGTCAAAGGGTAAAAATTACTTCCTTGATAATTAAAATAATAAATTGAGGTAATACGCAAACAATGTGAAATTTCCCAAAATAAAAATATTATTAAATATCATATTTGTTAATGTAATTCATGTTTAATCTATGGTTAAAACATTATTCAAATCAAATTAATTTACTCATAAAATGATTAGGGTTAAGAAGATCAATTGAAAAGAATATGCATGTTTAAGTACTTAGAACACCCTATTTATTTTAATTTCGCAGAGTAAACATATGCAAATAAACATGTGAGTTCAATTTAAATAACATAGAATAAAATAGGTTAGATAATAAGTATGCAAGAGGAACTAACAGCAACAAATAAATCATACTCAAGATGTAATACTTTTTTTCTATGAATCTCTATCACTAGGATGATACTAGATCAATATGACTTCCAGTACCTTTGTTAATTTATGATAAGATGAGCTTTCATTTATTTGAATTAATTTTCTCATATTCACCTATATCCTTAATCTAACTTTTAAATTAAAAAAATTATAATGAATACATTCCTGCCTTGTGGTTTATTGTTATTTTTTTAAGGCAATAGAATTAAGAAAATAACATTTTTATGATAAATTCTTTCACCATTTAATCCTTTCCAAACCTTCTTTTGGAAATGGAATTGCTTAGACTCATCTTGACGATTAATTAATATTCTCAATACATGTCTTCCCCCCTCAATGAACTCAAAGAGAGAAAAAAATACAATCATGTTCATTGGGCTCAGTATATTTTATTGATATTAATGTTGTTAATTTACATTAACTTCGATGTCCCTACTTACCAGGAGTTTGAGACCAGCCTGGCAACATGGCAAAACCCTGTCTCTACCAAAAAAAAAAAAAAAAAAAAAAGAAAACAAACAAACAAACAAAATGAATATATGACAAATTAACAATATTTTGCAAACACAATGGTATTACATAATCTCAATAGCATTTCCACAATTAGAAAAGTTGACAATGAATTATACATTTGAATATTTAGTTTTGAGATCTCAAAAATATGGCCTCTGATATTCAAAGTGATTGTCTGAAAACTATATATAATTATGATAAACTTTGTAAATAATTTCCAAAACTCTAAATGCATTCTCTGATAAAATTCACTTTCAGAGTAACTTTTTAAATAGTTTACCAAATATTAATCTCTTTTTATTTATTTTAGAAGGAGACTTTGTTGCCACATAATTTAACAACTATTTAGTATTTATATTGTTTAAGAAAAAAAGAAACCTTAACTCTTCATAGTTACTAATGATGGTATTGTTGTTATTGATAGTACTGTGAGTTGGAGAAGAAGTATGATGCTTAACAATTTTAAAAGCATATTAACACTAATATCTTTGTGTTTTTGGTTTCTACTTTCAGAGACAAAGAAATAGCATGGCATGAAACATGGCTCAGTTCTATTACAAAAGAAATGTTAATGCTCCCTATAGAGATCGCATCCCTCTGAGGATAGTAAGAGCAGAATCAGAACTCTCGCCATCAGAAAAAGCCTACTTGAATGCTGTGGAAAAGGGAGACTATGCCAGTGTCAAGAAATCCCTAGAGGAAGCTGAAATTTATTTTAAAATCAATATTAATTGCATTGATCCTCTCGGAAGAACTGCTCTCCTCATTGCAATTGAAAATGAGAACTTGGAGCTCATCGAACTACTCTTAAGCTTTAATGTCTATGTTGGAGATGCTCTATTACATGCTATCAGAAAAGAAGTCGTCGGAGCTGTTGAGCTGTTATTGAACCACAAAAAACCCAGTGGAGAAAAACAGGTACCTGCAAAAATACAGTTTTTAATTTATTTCACCTGCAGAAGAGTTTTTTTGTTTGTTTGCTTCTTTGTTTTTTCTTTTTCTTTTTTTTTTTTTTTTAGAGTTTCAAATGCCCTGAAAATTTAAGAAATATAAGCTTCAAAATCTGAACTATATTATAACAGAAAACTACTATTAGATACACCCTTCATGTCCTATGATAGTTACATCCACTTGCATTTCCTGCCCTGGAAAATCATAAGTAATTGTGAGAGCTAAAGCAAAATGAAGTAATCTAAGTAGACTGCTCATAAATTGGAAACATTTCTACGTAATGCTCAACACAGGTTGCTTGTAACTTTATGTGTATGTCTGGGTGTTTTTTCCTCTTGCCTTTCATTTTCTTACATTCTATCCTAGCAGAGGGTGAATTGGTTTCTTATTTTCCCATTTAGCCTGCTTGCCTGCTCTGGGCTTGTGCGGCTTACTGCAAAAGTGAGTTGCACCATCTAATTTTGATATTATCCTTTAACAAACTCTAGTAGATTCTTTTAAATTGAGACTTAAAGAAAGAAACGAAAAGGATTACTTTGAGATAGCTGAACTCTGACTGTGGGCTTAACTACATCAAATTTACTAATGGTGCAAATGTAGCTATACCTTATAGTTATCAACAGAAAATAAACTAAAATGGCACACAATTATAAATACAATGTGTGTTTTTTTCTTTCTCTCTCTCTGTCTTTTTCCACTGAGGAAGTGGAGACATCATAGACAGGAATGAATAAGGAGTCTGTTTTTGTCTGTCTGGACTCTTCCCTTTGCAACTGCCTTGTGTCTGAATTATCTATTTGATCCTTTTTCCTTTCACACTGAACTCATCACTTCCTTGCAACAAGGCTAATTGACTAATGGGATTGCAAAGACATTGCAGATTCTGCAGTGGTTCAGAAATCTGTCTTTTAAAGTAAAATCTTATAAAATGGATGTTATTTCAGCTCTAGCAAATTCTAGCCTATTTGATAATATACACATCTCTGTCTCTGCAAACGCTAGACTGTTAGGAGGTGTGCTTTTTTTTTTTTTTACAAGCAAGCTCTTCTTGCTTTCCTGGAGGACTTTTATCAGAATTTTTGCCACATTATTAGGAAAAGAACTTTATAGCTGAGCATCCCTGTCTGCTGGGAAAAGCTTGTGTTTTTATGGTCCCATTTTATGTTTCATCCCCATTCAACCCTTCCCCTCACCTGAACTAAAACTTTGGTAAGATAACACCCCACAGCAACAATACTTTTTTGCTTGTTGCTTTGCTGGCATTTTGCTGTTTCTTTCATAAACAGTTGTTTGTGGATTACTCTCATTATACTGGTAAAATTTTACTGCTATGAAAATTTGCTTGTTTCGTGTATCCTTTCAAAAGTGAACAAGCCTTGATCGGGGTAGACAGGTAATAGTAATATCCAAAGACACATTTCATGTTATATACCAGACTTTCACCACTAAGGAGGTACAGAACACAGACAGGAATGAGTAAGAGTCTGTTTTTAATCTGTGTAAGTTTAGGTGCTACTACTTTAGTCTCCTTGTGGTACTGAAATTCTTTCCACAGCTGACCTCTCAAGTATTTGCATTTTCTAACAGCAATGATATTATATTGTACACTCTCTTATTTTATGTCTATATAGGCAACCATAAGACAGATGTTTTGGCTGTGATGTGAATCATTATAGATTGCAGCAAGTCTATAGAATAAAACTGCCATTGAACATGTTTTTGATTTTATTACTAAAGAACCTTCTTAGTTCTATTTTCTAGAGAACACTGGCCATAAATTTCAGTGTCTCTTTAGTCAATGACATTTGTACTGACCAGAATAATTTTGTGTCTGCAGAAGATGTCTGCTATTATGAGAGTGTTTGTTGGAAGATGTTCAACTTCTGAACTAAACTCTAGCCTCACAAGTAGGTCCTGGCTCCTTACAGGCATTTGATCTGGATCGTGATTATTAATAAAAGGCAGTCAAGGTTTGTGATCTGCCAGGAGTCTGAAATTTCCCAGACCGTGTGTTTCTGGAAGATTTCTCTTGTATCAGTCTACTGGCCAAGAATTCCTTTTCTATTTGTACATTCTAGAATTCCTCTTCAGTGAAGGCACTGAGAATAAACAAAAATTGTATGATTTTGTTTGAACTTTATAATTTTGAAAGAGTAATTTCAATCTCCCTCAGAATTCTTGGGATCTTACACAATGAAAACTGAAGTTTTAGCAACATGAAATGTGCATAGCGTAGCACACAAAGATTTCCTCAGTGCTTGGGTCGTATCAAATCCCATTAGAGCCTGGCTGTTTGTTTGTGATTTTCTTAGGTAATTTATTTCCTAAGGAAGGTCAACATCTTTTGGAATGACAGTTTTCATAAATCACTGTGTTGTAAGTAGCAAATATGTTCTTGATAGGAATTTTTTTCTCTCATAAGGTGTAATTCCTTATTCTTGTGATCATTGAAAGCCATTTTTGTTCTATTTTAATTCTCCTAATTTTCATACTCATGGTATCCCCAAAGATTCTGGGACATGTTGTCATTCGTTTTGTTGAGGTCATTGAGGCCGAATGATAAAACCTGAAAACAATAATATCAAACTGAACAAAATAAATATAACATCCTAAAATGAGTAAAGAAAGAGGTTCTAATAAAAAAAAAATCATCCAAATCTGATTTTTAGAACGCTTAGTAGTTTCTAAAATGTAAGAAATGTGTATTCAAAATATACTCTTTTAGAAATTTGTCACATATTAACTTATTTCTCTGGGAAAAAAAAATATTTCATAGGCATCCTTAGGTCATGGGAGCTGTGAGATTTCAGATGAATTTGTCTACGCTTAAAGGCTTTCACTGGGGAACAATTTCCAGATGCCTGCTCTGCCAGGCCTCGTCCTGGGCCCTGAGGAGGAGACACTGTTCCTTTTCTCGAGAGTCCTAAGGTCCGATTGTGAATACAGAAAAGAAAAGTATCATGGGAATATGAATAAAGGCTGTCAGAACTGAAAAGATGAAAATGAATCCTCGAAAATTATGAAGTTAAATCAGCTGGATTTGGCAAATACAAAATGTTAGCGGGTAGAGGGCTGGAGAAGGGCTTGAAGGAAAAAGGAGAAGAATGTTGATGGGTATAAACCTTGAAAAAAATAACACCATTAACTGAAATAAAGCCTGTAAGAAAAGACTTATGGGACCAAATTGGACATCTGTAGTTTTTTATTTGTTAGTATTAATACTTAGGAGTTAATTAGAAATGTTGGATTTAAGAATGGGTTCTAAGATTGTTATGTAGATGATATTGAAGCAGGACATTGAAGCATATAAAATCACCTTGTCTTCCTGCAGTTCTGACATTGATTTTTTTTTTTTGACCTTATACATGTTTTAAAGATTTGTGATTTTTAGTATATTGAATGATTTTTCTCAATGCAGCATGTGATGAAAAGATCTAGGTATTTCCAGATAAATAGATGGGCATAGATCATTAAATATTTTCTTCCATATTTAAGGTAGTCCTTCATAAATCAGGGTCTTGAATTTAGTTTTTTTGTTTGTTTGTTTGTTTTAACGAGAAAAGTAATAGCTTATTTCTTTCCCACAGGAGACAGCACAGAGAGCCTCTGATTCTCTACACTAAGCAGGAATCATTGCACTGATAGTGTCTGATGACTTTACCGAGCTTGGCTTTAACCTTCTTAATAACCTTATTTCTCTAGAGGGAATAACTGAGAATGACTTCTTAACCCTCTTTTCAGTCAGTTGATTGGTAATTTGACTTTTCATTGTTTTTAGCAGACCTTAGATGTCTTCTAAGTCCAGATTTAATTTCAGTTTCAGCCGCTTCGGTAAATGTTTATCAGAAGCAGACCTTGCTTTTCAATTTTTTTGTTAGATCAGTGGTTGTCAATCTGTAGCATCATCACTGGAAAGGCTTGTTACAACACAGACTACTAGGACCTACCTGCAGAGGTTCTGACAGAGCAGGTCTGAAGTGAGGCCTTGGGATTTGTATTTCTAATGAGTACCCCAGGTAATGCTAATGCTGCCAGTCTAGCAACAGGGCTTTGAGAACCACTGATTCAGAGGATGTTGCAGGTTATAGAAAACCTACAGCTGTATATTTTATGTTAGATTTCTTATACTATACTATGCTAACCTGGTTTTCAGGAAATTTCAATTCATTCCCTTAAATACTAGCTATTAAGTGGTATTTAATATATGAGAGTTTCCCAATTTCAGTAACATCCATATTATATATTCCTACTTTGGAAAAAAAGACTTTGCTATACATTATAAACAGTTAAGATTCCAGAGTGATTAGCTGAAGAAATTTTGGTTTTAAAGTTCTACTAAAACTAATGCAGAGTATTTTATAATTGGAAGGATTCTTCGAGATCAACCTAATCAATCACCTCATTTTCCAAAGGAGAGACAGGAAAGAGGACTCAGTGGGGCAGTGGGTTGGCCAGACTGAAAGGACCTATAAATTAATAGCTAGCGACCAACCTTGATATAATCTGGATAATAATAAAAATTGTATGACAAAAAATGACAACAACAGTAGTAATACTAGATGATACTCACTGAGTTTGTCACCATGCCAGTAACTGTGGTTAGAATTTCACTTGCTTTATCTCACTTAATCTTTATATTGTCCTATGAAGGTAGGTGCTATTGCTATCTCCACTTACAAATGGGAAAATGAAGGCATTAAAAGGCTTAAGTGACATAGTGACACGTCCCAGATCACAAAGAAAGGAAACACCAGTGCTGGAACTCAAGAGTCTCTGAAGATAGTCACTATGCTGGTCTGGCTTTAGCCATTGCATCAATTTGAATGGGTGTCATTTAAATCATTAATTACTTATTTTAATTCAGGATATGAATTAGACAAATTTTAAGGAGTCTCTGGATGTACACATTCAGACTGTCTCTATCCTGAATATTATAATGCCATTTATAATTTTGTTGCCCAACAAAT